ATGATGTCGTACGTCACCCGGCGTCTCTTGAAAAACCCGATACTGGTTGTCCAATCGTTTATTCCGGATTCCCCTATGATAACGAGAACCACGTATCACCAGTAAACGGATCGGTTATTGTTAATGAAAACCAACAGTCAATGTTTGCCTCTGTAGATGTCGATTTTGCCAAACATTTTCGACGGTCAAACAAGCCGAGTGTGCTCGAATTGAAGGTAATTGCATTCGTTTTATCCGACCATAACCCGTCGTGTACACGTACCGTTGTAGCACGTGATTTATGCACACAATTTTTATTCCTCCACAGGAAATGAAAGTCATAAGCATGCTTACGGTCCCTTCAAATATCGATCTATTGCAACGAATCGCAGATGAAGAAGAGCTAATTTTGGATTATGACATTGACGAAACCTATTCGCCGATGATTAGTACGATTTCCAGATATTCATCGTGTAAAACTAAACAGTTAAATTACCTATGTACTTACAGGAAAAGATTTTATGTGTGTTCAGCTTACGGTAAATCATTGCGCACTGACGGTCGTTGGCTTCGGTGAAACGTTACTCGACAGTCAAGAAAATGCGGCTTATGAGTGTTTGACTCGTTTAAAATTAGTCCTAGAAAATTAAATGTACGATCAAAGCAGTAGATGTCTACAGTAAGTTAATACAAACTATTATAAAGTAAATGAAAACTTATCGCTCATTATCTATCACGACGTACTTTTAGCGGCCCAAACCCAAAATTTAAAGTTTCTTTTTTACACCTTATATGTTAAATTTATCTGTACCTACTAATACATACGATTTTATAATAGGTTATAATGTGATACAAGCGGATTAAACGAGATTTCAAATATTTATCGGCCGTGTGTGTTTGGGTCACTGTACATCAATAAGACCCGATGACATTTTAGATTGTCAACATCGTAACCGTATAGGAACAATACAAATTGAAAATATCGTTTAACACAGTATACAATCCAGCTTCGTAGAATATCTCACTTTCTATCGACATCTACTTTTAATTATTTAATCATGGCATAATATAAACAATTGTTAAATAAAACTATGTTCTATGGCTAAAACCATAATTCAATTACGTTCTGTTTATCATTTGTAATAAAATATTTATGAAAATTATAGTGACTATTTACCATTGTAAATTATTTCAAAACAAAAATGATCCATTAAAGTTATTAACACTATCATAAACCATTATGATTAATATATTCGGTTTAATGACAAAGCTATGAACATCAAATATCAATTTTTGTGATTCTCTAGTTCATTCAATAAATATAGTAATTATTCAATAAAGTAAAATACATTCATCGTTGTTTTCGCCATTAAAATAAATTCAGTGCTGTATTGTATGTTTTGCACCAGGGATATCAAATCACGTCGCATAATAATTTTTTTATGAATGAGTTTTCATCATATTTTTGCATTGTGATAATATAAGCCAAAATTGATTTTAAACTGTTCACCAAAACAAACTTATTATAGTTTCATTAGATTAATAACCTTACTTTAAGATTTTCCTTAAAATCAATACTATGTAATACTAACGTTGCGTCGTCTATATTATATTTTATTATTCGGTTAACGACTCGTGAAGAATGTTCGAAGTCGCGCGCGCAAATAGCTGAACATTTTTCGAAGTTTGTCGTCCGTATATACGTGTGACAGTAGCACTCTATACGCAATGAGTATGAATCAGCAATATTTAACGAAATAAAAATCCCTAATTATAATATATGTATAGCCGATAAAATCACATTTGTGTGTGTACATGTTTGTATAATAATAATAATAATAATAATAACGATATTAACGCGATTATATGCATAATAACCATTGGAACTTTCATCCGCAAGATTAATAATTGTATCGTGTAGTTTTGTTAAAATCGTGAACATTCGTGGAATATGCGCCCTTTCGAAACTTTTTTCTTCCGTAATAATTCGAAATTTATTTCGCTGAATTAGACAGTACACGATATTATAATATTTTATAGAATTGACGTGAAGGAAAAGAAATGATACGGACGCGATCCACTCCTGCTGTTGGAGATGGTAAAAATCGCTTAAAAAAAAAGAACAACGTCGCGACCGTTCAAGTGTACTCGGCGTGTAGTATAGGCATACTGCTCACGCTTACAAAGTATTACAAAAACTTTACTTTTTTCTTCGCGTTACAAGAACTTTCAAAATCCACCACTCCTCATTCCCTGAAAGATGTTGTTATCTCCTCGGGAATTGTCTGCTTTTTTAAAGCGATTGAAAAATATTATTCCGAATATAGTTTATTTTTTCTTCACTATTATTATCATCATAACAATGATGCTGATGGTGATAATGATGTGCGCGTGGTTCCTGAATCGCGACAAGTAAAATTAACAAGCGATCCTACCTGTCGAGAAGAACGACAGCAATAATAAATGCGTGCGTAAATAAACGTATATACTTTGTAATTGTATATGTAGTATACGAACGTGCATTTGATTACATTGACTTTGAAGTACAAATCGAATACCACTCGCTTGTGATTGTTGTAGCAATATATTATGTTTCGCATATCATACAATATTCAACGTAAAACATAATCTAACGTTATCGCGACGTTTTTCACCAGGGGCGCCATTCCAGACATTTACAACCATAACCGAGGTATTTATCAGATAATATAAAGTAATTAAAAATAACACTTTATATATCACATATTTACTAGTTAGTCATTTGTTGGTGTATTTATGCATATTGTATATGTTTGTATTTATTAGAGCTATATAAGTCTAATAATTTTACTCACCTATTTTATTTTTTTACAACTTAATATCTGGTACTTTTTGTTGACCATAGATATTTAGTCATTTTTTTTGTGCACAAATGCATGCTTATTTATGTATTTTAGCATAAATAACAGTGAGACACCAACGGGCAATGACTAACTATTTACTAATAACTAGTGATGTGTAGTTCATGAACTAGTCGACTCACTGGTCGACTCTTAAAAATGAACTGGACGAGTCGAATCAGTGTTACAAGAGTTGACGTCTCAGTGACTCACTGACTCAGTAAAACTTATAACTCAAGTTATACGCTTATAATCATAATTAGTTTCATATGCGATAAGCATATTCATATTCATGAATATGGTCAGTGAACTTGTGAGTCTAATCAAGAGTCGAGACTTGAAGAGTTGATTAGAGTAGTGGTAATCTGACTTAAACAAAGAGTTGGAAGTCGACACTTTGATTCAACTCATTACACTGAACTGAGTTGAAAGATTCAGTTCAGCAGAATGAGTTGGAATTCCCATCCCTACTAATAACTATTAGTTTTACACAATAAGGTGCTTGTGTTAAATGATCGGCGAGCCGCGAATGCAATAGGTATAGGTATAGGTATAAGGGAAGATAATATGTATTCGCAGTCAGAATTAAACTTGTGAATAATTACAAAACGCTACTTCAGCTCATTTGCTTTATTAATATGTAACTATTTTAATATTTAAATGTAAATAAAATAATTTTTAGTACTTATGTGAACTCCCGTTAACTGGCTTCCGGAGAAGTTAACACTTATCTGTCGTAATATGTTTTTTTATCTTATCCATATCAATTTTTTTCGCTTACCTATATGAAGTGAAATAAATTATTTTAACCATGATCAAATATTGAGATATTAAATTAAAATTATTTAAAAATCAATAGATGTATAAACTAATAATTAACCTGATTAATTTAAAAATATATAACCTTTATTTATAAAAAAAACCCGCGAGTTCGATTATTTCTTTTTAGATTTTGTTATCAAAAATTGAGTTATACGTTGTATTGATAATAATGCTGACCAAATTATGTTAATTTTTAGCCGAATTGTAAATATTTTTTTCGTTTATTTGACTCATTTTAGTTATATGGAAACATAAATGCTTTTTGGTTTCTTAATATATTCTTTTTACAAAATATTTCAATTTAAAACTATTTGTACTTTACCGTGAGACTTGAATTACCAAATGAGATTATATTACAGTTAATACTTTATTGGTATGTACATTTTAAAACTTTTCGTTGTATAAATTGGAATATTATTTTATCGTTAATTAATTATAAAATATGAATCTTTGTCAATTACGTTTAGTGATTAGATTTAGTGGAAATACTCTGTAAGTTGGATATCAAAATATATATTTGAATTTTAACTAGGTAGGTATTTTAAGTATTTTAAGTACTTCTATTTCTAAAACTATTTTGACTTATTATTGTACGGATTTAATTAATTAGTAGGTAAGTACAAATATTTTATTTCTAGTAAAAAAATGTTTGTTACATTATTATTTGTTGTGTACACACCATACTATGACGCTAATGAAGTGGTCAAATTTTACAAATTCGTTTAATATTTTATTTTTTTAAAGCTCTTATTGGGAATATTTTTTTACTTAGTCTTATATTATGATATTTGAATTATATTATTTTTGTCTTATAATGACATCAAAATTAATACTATTAGAATAAAATATTTGTAGAAAAATTATACTAATTGATACTATCAACCATTAGCTAGTGTTTATATTGATGACAATGTAATCAGTGACAACTATTTTTATTAATTTTAGGTAGGTAATAATAATTTTGGAGAGAATAATTTGCATAAAAATATTGTAATTTACAAATCTTTAAAATTATTTTTTTAGATATATGGAGTTCTACATTGGTTTATTTTGGAAATCACCAAAATATTTGTCTACTTTTAAATCTATTACGTCAAAAACAAATTGGATACCACTTTATATTTGAAATACAATAAATTTAATTTTAAAATTAGAACAGTATTTGTATCTGTGATAATGCCTCATCACTATGGTCCAGATATTCCTATGCAGATTCGGCCTGAAAAAAAACTAACAAAAGATGCTATGGAAAGATATTTGCTTGATCGCAATGACTTAGTTCTAGTTATCCTTCATGCTAAAGTTGCTCAAAAATCATATGGAAATGAAAAACGTTTTTTCTGTCCACCTCCATGTGTATATCTTTTTGGCAATGGTTGGCGCTTGCGTCAACAACAGCTACTTAGAGAAGGGGTAACTGAAGCCAATTCTCAAATGACTTCATTCATTGGTATTGGCAGTGCAGATCAAGATTTGCAATCACTTGATCTAAACAACAGTAAACAATATTGTGCAGCTAAAACATTGTTTATATCTGATTCTGACAAGAGGAAACACTTCATGCTTATGGTAAGAATGTTCTACAATAATGGCTATGACATTGGAACTTTTCATAGTAAGAGAATCAAAGTGATATCAAAACCCTCAAAAAAAAAACAATCATTAAAAAATGCTGATTTATGTATCGCCAGTGGTACAAAAGTTGCATTATTCAATAGACTCAGATCACAAACTGTAAGTACTCGATACTTACATGTTGAAAATGGAACCTTTCATGCTAGTTCAACACAATGGGGAGCTTTTATCATATACTTATTGGATGATGATGAAAGCGAAAGTGACATGTTTAATGTTAGAGATGGTTACATTCATTATGGTAGTACAGTAAAATTAGTGTGCAGTGTTTCTGGAATGGCTTTACCTCGACTTGTTATTAGAAAAGTTGACAAACAAACAGCATTGTTAGAAGCTGATGATCCTGTGTCGCAGTTACATAAATGCGCTTTTTATATGAAAGATACTAATCATATGTATCTATGTTTATCTCAAGAACGCATTACCAACTTTAATGCTACACCATGTCCTAAAGGGCCTAATAAAGAAATGATTAACGATGGAGCTTGTTGGACCATTATTAGTACAGACAAAGCAGAATATCAATTTTATGAAGGAATGGGACCAGTTAATTCACCAATTACTCCTGTGCCTGTAGTACATGGGCTTAACACTAATGGTGGTGGTGATCTTGCTATGTTAGAATTGAGTGGTGAAAATTTTACTCCACATTTACAAGTTTGGTTTGGAAATGTCGAGTCTGAAACTATGTTTCGCTGTCAAGAGAGTATGATAGCTGTTGTACCTGACATTTCTTCATTTAGAAGAGATTGGTCTTGGGTGAAACAGCTGACACAAGTACCAGTATCATTAGTAAGAAACGATGGAATAATTTACGCCACAGGACTAACATTTACATATACTCCTGAACCAGGTCCAAGAAATCGAGTTACACCAGCTGATGAGATCATGAGGACATCAAGTTCAAAAAACAATTTTTCATTATCGCATATTATGAGTTAATTATTTGAAGGATATGTTTTAAATAGTATTATTTATTCAACAGCCAACAGGATCTGTGACCTATGACTGACAATTGACTGAATGAATCTATGTTTTGACAATAATAGTAATAATAGGGAGCCTAGTAATATAATAAGACCAATATATTTTTATTTTATCAATGTTTATTAATACCTAAATATTTTAATATTGCTCAAATTTTACTTTATATGTTAGTACTTATCTGTAGCTTAGGTAAATCAAAACCTGACCTCACTCAAGTGAAAATAAATTTGAAATCATTTTATTTTTGTCATTCTAATGTTGTAAATGTTGTTCTCAGTTATCATTATTGTAAGTTTTGAACAATGAAACTTGTATATTTCAAATTTTAGAAAAATTTTTTTACCTGAATTACAGATTTATATATTATATTCATTAAGTAAATATATATTATTTATTCACATATTGTTAGTCTTACTTCAGATTTCGTACATTTTTTTTAAAAGATACCACGAATTTACCACTATAAATATATTTAATTTTTAATTAACAAAATATTCTTATGTATTAAGTCTACACACAAATATTTTTTAAATAATAATATAATATAAGAATAATATAAGGTAACTTTATCACTTGTTATTGTTTACCATAGACAAATTAAATTTTCTAATTTATTACTAAATTATTTTGCAAGAGGAAAAAACTAAATTTTTAATTCATATAATTTTTTATATGTTGATTTTGAGAAATGTGTCAAAGTACTAAAGTATTCTTTTTTTTCATTAAGCCTGTATAATTTAATAATTAGTTAATAGCAGATTATTTATTAGATGCATCAAATTAAATAATAAAAACCTAATATAATTGTACTTACTGTAAAAATTATAATCAGGTAATGGAATAGCCCAAAAATAAATTGTAAAAAATAATTTATTTTTTTATATATATTAAAACTTAATTATTATTAAAATTTTAATTTTATATTTTTCTTGGTATTACATTTTAAATTTTACTAATAACATTGATTTAAGTTATATTATAATTGTATAAGATAATTTTAGTATTAATTAAAATTAATACTATTAGCTTATAAATTATATATTTGTAGAGGAGAAGCATTTTTTACAGAGTTCTAATCTTGGGTAAACAGCAAAAAATTAAATAAATATTTTTGTAGTTAAATTCAGTAGTATCATATGCCATAACAATTTGTGAAAAGAACAATAGATTAAAAAAAAAAAAGGAAAACCATTGATACACAAAGTATTGCACGATAAATGTATCAAACTTCAAGAGGTACTTATACACCTCAGATGTAACAAAAAAAGTCCTTATGACCATTATCGAGTTCTCAATAATAAGGGAGATACTTTGATTTTTGTGTTTTTTGATTGAACGCAAGTTTCATTCATAATAATGTTCATATTTGCTGAACCGTTAGTTCTAAAATACATTTGAATACACCACTGAAAAGCTCATAAAGCTATGATTAAGCAAACATACACTTCATGGTTGTCAACTAATTTTTTGGGTTAAAGAAATAATACAAATCTTTTAAAACTTCAAACTGTCGAAATTTTAATAAATTTCAATGTTATTTAACAACAATTAATTTCTAAGACGGGGAGGTGTAAATTTCACAAAAACTTCAAAATGTTATAAGCTTTAGAACGGTATACTCCATTTTTTTATTAAACAATTCGGAGGGACCGCTATTCCACCTTTTGTGTGGAAAAACGAAAAATAATACTAATTGATAAATACAAAGCCGCTAAAACATGGTAAACTGATGTAAATTTTATTTCATGAGATTTAAAATTAGTTTGTACATATAAGTTTATTAAAAAAGCTGTTGAAAGTGTCCACCATTTTTCTTTTAACAAGCACGGTCTCTCTCACGTACTTTATTCCTAGTTACTCCTGCTGTCATTATTCTCCGCATTTCAATAGCAGCTTGAAGAATTATCTACCTTAGTTCTGCTTCAGAATCGACTTCCAGATGGTAGACTTGTTCTTTGAGGTATCACCAAACAAAAAAATCCAAAGAAGTTAAGTCTGGAGACCTCGGAAGCCATGGAATTGTGCTTCCTCTGTCGATCTAAGAAGTAAATGTTTCATTTAAGTGCTGTCTCACTGCTCTTGAGAAATGTAGTTGGGCCCCATTATGTTGGTAAATCATGCACCTCCTGACTTCTAAAGGTATATCCAAAAGCAATCCAGGTAGTTCATTTTGAAGAAAATTTAGGTATGTATTTCCACCTACCGTCCTACAGTCCTAAAAACGGATCAATTAACACACCACCGATGACGCCCATCCATTCATTGATCGAAAATCTGCGTGGAAAACGTTGTTGACGTACCAAGCGTGGATTTTTCTGAGCATAATGATGTTTATTATGAACATTAAACACGCCTTCTCTTGTAAGTATACTCTTATCTATCCAAATAATACTTTCAAGAAAATCACAATCCTCAACTTCATTATGAAGTAGCCATCTACAGAACTGAACACGTTGTTGATGGCCAGTATTCTTTAAACCACGATCTCTTAAAAAAATGATATAGATAAATGATATAAACTTTCTCTATTAATAGTTCTCCATACAGTCGAATGACGAACATCAAATTGACGAGCAAGAGCACGTGTACTAGGTTCTGGATCTCTATTTGTTTCATTTAAGATTTCCTTCTCCAAGTCTGTATTATGTACACCTTTTCTCAAAGACCGTATAAAAGTACCTCGCTCTCTCAGAGCTTGGTGGATTTTACTGAGCATGCCTGGGGCAGGAACGCGCCGACCAGGAAAACGATTTTCGTACTCTCTTTGAGAAGCTCGAGTATTTCTATTACACAAACCATAAATAAAATTCATGTCTGCAAGTTCGGTATTTGAATAAGAAAGCATAACGGATAATACAAAAACAAATACTACACAAGAACCTCTTACAAAAAGTGTATTAAAATTTGAGCACCACTGTCGACAAATAATAAAACACGTTAATAACATTTGAATGACTATACTTTAAATTCGACGATTATACAATAAATTAAGATAATAATAATTACCATCAAAATTTACATATAAATAACAAATTTTGACAGTTAATGAACGAGAATTGTTATCGAACGCTTTAAATAAACGTAGTAAATCGATATAATCAGTTTTTACTGTCATTTTATCCTGTATTAATGGCTTAACATTTATTTTTGTTTTTCCACACACATGGTGGAATAGCTGCCCCTCCAAATAGTTTAATGAAAAAATGGAGTATACCGTTCCAAAGCTTATAACATTTTGAAGTTTTTGTGAAATTTACACCCGTCTTAAAAATTAATTGTAGTTAAATAACATTGAAATTTATTAAAATTTCGACAATTTGAAGTTTTAAAAGATTTGTATTATTTCTTTAACCCAAAAAATTAGTTGACAATCTTGAAGTGTATGTTTTCTTAATCCTTGTTTTATGAGATTTTCAGTGGTATATTCAAATGTATTTTAGAACTAACGGTTCAGCAGAAATGAACATTATTATGAATGAAACTTGCGTTCAATCAAAAAACACAAAAATCGAAATATCTCCCTTATTATTGAGAACTCGATAATGGTCATAAGGACTTTTTTTGTTGCATCTGAGGTGTAATAAGTACTTCTTGAAGTTTGATACATTTATCGTGCAACACCCTGTATACTTCGGTATTACAAAATATGTTTGTAGAGTAAAAAATTATTAAACAATAAGAATGTTTTGTTTATCCAGCAAAATAGATTATGAATAAATACATATTATATATACAAAAAACATATATGGTACTACATAATGATAACCAAGGCTAGGGACTTATAGCACTTAAAATCATTAAAATAAGCGCTTAAACATCATTATAAGCATTTAAAAATTTGAAATTAAGCAAAAATATTTATTAAAAAAAAAGTCTATAAAATTCTAACTAAAAAAACAAAATAAAAATAAATCTTCACTTTTAAGACTTAAGGATTTTCTAAGGGATTTTTTTGAAAAATAACATGTAAACTGTTCTTTCTGTTTTTGATCATTCGGACGTTTGATATTCAGTTCTATTTTCAGCGTTGGAATATCTTTGTTAACCCTACAACGATGCCTTGGACGGCGACGAACTACGTGACATCGTAGATAAGAATTATTTTTATTTTTAATTCTATCAAAAACGACTTTTCAGGAGAAAACTATTAAAATGTAAAAAAACTGGTCAAATAATCAAAAAAAGGCATTTTCAAATTTCTTAATTGTACATGTTATAACTTGACATACACTTCTATAGCACTCTGCTACATTATAAGTCAATTCATAAAAATAAGTGAATGCTTTAATTTCTAAGCCCTGATAATAACATAATCTTACACAACAATAGTATGAAATATCAACGTAACAAATTATAAATCATAAACGGCATAGGCTTGATAAAATATTTATTTTCATATTTCATTATAATATCTACGCTATTGTTAATTAATTTTGAGATGACAAAAATTAAATTTTAGCAACATGAGAGTTACTACAATAGAAGCACAACATTATAAAATGAATCAAGTAATTTTAAATGATTATTGAGTAGCCATAGTTGCATATATGAAAATTAGTAACTATTCTTAGTAAAATGATATAAATAAAAAATTATTCTTTATAAATATCAATTATAAATAAAAATAGTACAGAGGTAACCCAAAACTTGCAAAATATTTTTTTAACATGAAAATAATACTTTCTTAGTTTTAGATAAAAACACTTAATTCAATAATAGTGAAGTATAAATATCTCTACAAATTGTATCTTAATCAGAGCATTTTAAAAGATTTACAACATCTATACTAAATATATCAATGTTAATTTTATGAAGTTTTAATGTTTGCTGTACTAGAAATTTAGAGTACTAACCAATAATTTAGACAAAAATAAGAGACATTTCATTTTTTCAAATTAAATTTGGTATTTTTTAATTTTTTATAGATTGTAATTGATACTATGTTATTTAAAACTTATAAATAAACACAAATTAAGCAAGTACAGATTTATGGATTAAAATAGAAAAGCTAATAATTTTATTGTTTAATTATATGTACAATTCATAAATATTATAACCATTAAATATTTAAATATAAATACATAAAAGCCTGGCGATGCTCATGTATACATCAATATTTGGTTGATACTAAGTTGTATTTATTTCTGGAAAGTCAATTACCATTATTTATAATAAAAAATCTTATTTTATCAGTTACTTAAAAAACTGCACTAAATAATATTTTAAAATAATAAATAACAAACACAATTCAGTGACAAATGAATATATATAAATAAGTATATATAATTGATATATCAATAATTTACTAAAAGTAATATTACACAATTTTAAATTTTAAATAATTTACTTTTCCTAGCATACCATTGTTATCTAATAAAATGTGGTTTGAAAATAAAGTGCGTTATAATAATAAATTGATAAAAAAAAATTGTATATTATTATGAATTAAAACCCTCCCCTAAAATTATTATTAGGTTGTTGCACTTGGAATCCAAAGTTATTATTAGGATAACCGGGAGGTGGGTTACTCATATTAGGCATTTGAACAGGGGCTTGCGACACAAATGTAGGTTGATGCTGACTAGGTTGGTGTTGGGTTACTTGACTATTATTGCTATCGCCCCATCTGCTTGCTCTTTCACGGCCTGGAGCCATACCATTATTATTGTTGCTTAAACTGTTAACAGCATTTCCTGTAAAACCACTGCGACCTCCCTGATTTCCACCAGAATAATTGTCACGATTAGAACTATAGCTTCCACCAACATAACCGCCACGACTTCCTCCTCTTGAAGGGACAGCCCCCCTGTTACTATATGTTCCTCGGCCACCACCACTACTAAAGTTCCCACGACTGCCACGATCATGGCCTCCTCGACCTCGACTGTTTTGACCACCTCGGTCACGACTACGATTAGAACGGTCCACTAAAATGATAAGAAATTATAAGTTAAGAAATATTAAATTGCTTAATAGAATTTACTTTTTCCAAACACTCCTGCAGCAGCCATTTCTGCAAGTTCAAAAAGTTTTGGGTTGACCACTTGCTTAGCTTCTTGTAACACAGATATGAGATCTTTGGCTTGTCGAGCATTGCTGGGAGTAACAAAAGTAAATGCTGTTCCTGTACGGCTTGAACGACCAGTTCTGCCAATACGATGTACATAATCCTCAGAAGAATTGGGATAATCAAAATTTATCACATATTTGACATCGTCCACATCTATTTTAAAATTAAATTATATATATTTAACTATTAATAATTAAAAAAAAAATCAAAAATTAAATATTTTTCTCAAGCAATATTTAAAAAATAAAATAATACTAAAATAATAAATGAATTACCAATTAATATTACCAAAGAAAATATATTGTAAGACATGTATAAACCAACACAATATCCAATAGTAATATTTTAATAAATAGGTATAATTAAGAATTTTATATTTTAAGCCATAGCCTGATGAATATTGGATTTATATATATTAAAAGTATAACTAAAAATGTCTTCAATGTTTATAATAATAATTTATAGTCTTAATATATGTTTATATATAGTTTTAAATGTAGCCAGTGGTACCCCAGATGTATGTGTAATTTGATATTATTATATCTGCCTATTCCCCAAAAACAAAATTTAAAGAGTTATTTTTTGTATTATTTATTTGTTAATATTAGAGATATTATATAAATATTAACAATAATATTAACAATGTTATAGTACCCATCTATCCCTTATTTTCTAGGTGTTGTGGGCAACTACACCTAGCAATAGGGTTAAGCACTACTGGATGTAGCAGATATTACAATAAAATATAAATTAAATAAATTACATTAACTATCTGTCTAATAATATTATGAGACACAACACTAATTAAGGAATATAATAATTATAGTAAATTATAATAATAATTATTATAAATTATCCTATTTTGATGAAGGAATGAAGAAAGTGTAAAATAATTGGTTGAATACATAAACTTTTACAAATTATGATTTACGTTTAACTGAAAAATAATTTACTGATAATTAATGAAAATAAAATAATTTCACAAGTTTGTTATATATAGATTTTAATTGTTGATAGTAATAAAAAAATATAAGTATGAAATTAAAAGTTATTCGCCTAACATATTTTGATATTATTAAACTTATAAATACTATAAAATTCTTTTACAGAATTTTCAATTATAATAATAATAGACTTGACTTTTTAGTGATTATAATTAAAAGTGTAGAATAAATATACTATAATCAGATATAGGAATTTTCCAATATTTCAGTAACTCTAGATTTTCATTTTTAAACAACAATATATTTAATAAATAAAACTACACAAAAAGTCACTAATACTATTATTATTATTTATTTAGCAATAAAAATCTAAACCTTTAGTTTCTAAAGATGTATTATGTTAGTATTTGAATTAATTTATCTGAACATTTTCACAAATTATTATTTATTTAAATATTCATAATATTATAACTATAATCAATGAAAAATTATATAAACATATAATTTTTAGTATATTTTTTTAATTTAATTAGATGAGTTTATATACTTGAATTAAAACCATAGCATTTATTATAATTAATGTTAATATATTGTAATATGCCACACGGTACTAATTTAGTTAACTTAGAATTAAAACAATCTACATTTAAATACTGAGAAATTGTACACACCACATTACTAATATAAAATAATAATGTAACACACAAAATCTGATGATGTTGTAATATGCCATAAGTCACTAATAAAAATTATGATACATATCATCATTCGCGCGAATAAATCTCCAATGTGAAAAATTACCAAATTGAAGTTTTGATATCACTAAATTCAGAAAAAAATTATCTTTAATATGAATAAAACTCCTATGTGCTATCTTTCTTCCACGTTTAATGAAATATAAATTAAATAATCTTCCTTGTGTAGGGCTAATCATAAAGGTTTCTGGAATACCTTCAATGTGAATACTTAAGCTCCTACGAAGTTTAAAAAAAATTTATAAATACCTCCTATGTGAATAAAAATATGATTGGCAATCACATTGAAGGTATTTTCGTTTGTGTATAGGTTAGTTTCGTGTGGTGATAGACAAATAAATAACTGTTTTGTCATTACTGAAAAGTAGAATTTTTTCACATAATAGATTTATTCCTGCGGACAACAATATGAGAAGATGCTTTTGTAGCGCTTCCTTCAACTAAAAATATTATTAGCTTGTAAACTAAGTATATATATGGTATAAGTTCTCAGAAGTACATTTGTACACGTGCCAACGTATGGGTCATCTATGAGAGCGAATAATGTCATATTCTGCATGGGATCAGGTACAGAGAGCTGTCCACCAACATATAGAAGGGCTCCAGATCAGCACTAAATTCAGACGTTTCCAACCATACAGTAATAATGCATTGCTTATATCAGTCATCGTCATAATTGTAACTTTGTTGATTTATCTAAGTGTTTTAAATAAATTATCAACAACGCAGTCTTACAAGTACATTATTGAACTTATCCTAAAATCTTAACACTTAGTAACTTAACAAATTTGTGGCACCGTCAAATAAATGATAGCACACTACAATATTACACCATTTTACAGATATGATAAAAAAACCAGTATAAAACAGTTAAGTACTTTTTATGATATATGTGTTCTACTATATTTTCAATTGAAATTTCTAAGAAATGATTCTAAATTTATTACGTTTTCTTAAGAATCTTTATTCAACTTTTGAAATAGATACTTTTATATTATAAAATAACTATATTTTTGATTAAAATAGTCAAACAGAATAGACAGCATTAATCAAATAAATATCTAGGGGATATTATTAACATACACCATTGGCTACTAAATTGTCATTTAATATGTTATTACTGTACTAAAAATAAAACAAGTTTAGATTTATTAGAACAAAAATCCCTAATTTATATAATTAAAAATGATATTTTTCTAAAATATAATTGTTGTCAAATAAATAAATCTAAAATGACCAGACTGATTGACGTAAAACGAAATATGTCAGATGCCTTTATATAACATGAAGGAGCATTATTCGCTGCATAATAGTTTATAAATTAACATCACAATTTGTTTAATAATTGAAAACCATACTATTAAAGGTTTAATATTATCTTCTATTTTCTTATGATGAGTCTTAATCATTTCAAAAGGCCAAAATTATTTTTCTTATAGTAAAATATCACTATTATGTGAAAAGCAAGGGAGAAGATTATTATGTCATAATAATATATTGTAACACTAAAGAAAATACATAATACTAATTCCAATTTTGTTACAAATTACTTTCTGGTACTAAATAATTTATATTTTCTTTATATTTGTTTTTAAAAATATGATTTGTAAAAATATTGGTTTTATTACATAACAAAAATGATATATATATATAATGCTATATGACAAAAATGCTATCATAAATTTGTCCCAGAACTAATTAAGCTCATCAATATTAATAACTAAAAATAAAACTTACAAAAAAAAAAAAATTCCTAAAATATTAACAATTAAGTATAAAATATTTTGCTCCTTCACATTTATTTTTAATTACTCCTCTATGCCTATCGAGAATGTCTCTTTCAACAGATATATTTACAGTAGAAACTCAATTATCTAAATATTTATTGATGTACTTATAAATAAAATATATCAATGTATTATAATAACTGAATCCAATCAATATAGAAAAATATCAAATTAAGTTTAAAATTTCAGATAATTAAGATTCTACTGTACTATTTTAAGCCTAATTAAGGTCAATTGGTATAACATAGCCTCCTTATTAAGTTTTGGGCTGATGCAATTACTGATCAAATGATAGAGAATTTAAGCGGATCAGAAATAAAAAATTATTTACTAGTTTTAAAAATATAGTATAATATGAATCCGCTTATATATTCATCTCATTTATGACCAAATTTATATCACCACATGCGGTAAAATTATAACACCAGCCCTACGTTGTACAGTTTTTCTTGATTTAATTATCAAGAATTCAAAAAAAAATTAAAAAGAAAAAATCGGCTATATTATATTACGTGCCTTGAAAATCATCCGACGTGTTCTCTGTTTTCTTTGACATTAACCCGACCGGCTGAGTGAGTAGATACAAGACCATCGAAGGCATCAATACATTAACAACCAGTCTGGAATCTGGGTTCCACGCACTGAAATGCATTCTTTACCGCAACTTACCCAAACCACGAGCAGCTACATCAGTTGCCACCAGAATATTTGCTTGGCCTGAACGAAACTGATTCAATGTGTGATCACGTTCATTTTGAGACTTATTACCATGTATTCCAATGGATCTCCATCTAAATAATCCAAAAATTAAAAATAATTTATATTTTATTATACACTAAAAAATGAGCATTTACCCATTCCGATTAACTAATTTCACTATATTATCCACAGAACGTTTTGTTTCAACAAAAATTATAGTTTTATTGTCAGGTTGTGAAAAAATATCGGTTAATAGCCCATATAATCTAGAAAAATGTAATACGTCAAAAATTGATTTTAAATAATTTGTAATTTATTCTTAAAACATACTTTTGTTCTTTTTCATAATCATCACATACTTCAACCACTTGTGAAATATTATGATTAGCAGATAAATTCAAAGAACCTACATTCACTTGTATATAATCATCCAAAAATTCTTCAGCTAAGTTTTTAACTTCAGGAGGCCATGTTGCAGACCACATTAAAACTTGACGATCAGGCTAATATAAAAGAACAAATTATATCATTTTAAGATCACACATTTACACATATATGAATATATATAATTTATACCCGAATCTGTTCAATAATTTTACGTATTTGAGGTTCAAAACCCATATCCAACATACGATCAGCTTCATCTAATACTAAATATGTACACCGTTTTAAATTAGTTGTATTCCTTTCTAAGAAATCAATAAGTCGCCCAGGTGTTGCAATAACAATTTCTACACCACGCTCCAAATCATCTGCTTGAGGTCCTTTAGGAGCACCACCAAAAACACAAGTATTTCTAACAAATGTAGAAGTACCAAATGCTACAGCAACTTGTTGTATTTGCTGAGCAAGTTCACGAGTGGGAGCTAATATTAAGGCAATTGGTCCATCATAACGTAAAAGACGTGGCTGATTATTAATGTGTAATATCGCTGGTAACATATACTAAAAAAAAAAATTAATTAATTCAATACAAATTCAACTTAACATCTAAATCATTATTATTTTTTAAAATAATTTATTTAATATTCTTAAGTATATTATTAATAAACAATAGAAATAATATATTAAGTCATTTTTTTGTGAAAGTGGTTAATAACAACAAATAACAACACATAACAAAAATATGTAAATGGGTGATAATATTAAAATAATAAACATAGCAATAAAAAGTTAGTTACTGATGCTAAAAAAAAATGTGCCTAGTTAATTTTATCAATTTCTTGAAAACAATGATAAGCTATCGCGTTTGAAAAATAATTCTAAGTGAAGGTTGAAGTAATTATAGGTTAAAATAATTATAGTCTTATACAATATATTTGTAAATTTTATCAGGTTATAATATAAATTAATATGCTTGTAATAAAAGGAATTGATATTTATTATGTTGAAAAATATTTTTATTTAAATCAATAAATAAGAAAAGAAAACAACCATCAATATTTAAAATAAATAATAGAATATAATTTTAATAATAATAAGCAAAAATTAAGTCAGTTCAAAATTAAAAAAAAAATTACATAAAATAAACTTGCATACATTTAAAAGAAAAGGAACATAACTGTACTGATAAAATAAAAACACAACTTATGGGTTTGTTTGATGACATTTTTGTAAGCATTAGAAAAACTACTTGCAATAATTAAAATGGTCAATAAACAACCCATTTTGAAGGTAAATTTAAAACAAAAAATTTTAAAATTGACAAAATGCATTAACAAAGTCATTGTAAAATACCAAAATATATTATTTTATACTACTCGAAACAAGTATCATTTATTTGTTGGTGTATTTTTTAATAATTTAACCATTAAGATGGTGTTTAATTAATTTTAATAACTATCATAATATAATATGAAAAATTGATTTTGTAGTAACATGGCAGCACATAGATCATGTAAATCTATTAACTATTATAATAAATGTATAATTATCACAATATATTAAAATATATTAGATAACAAAATAATCAATTGATATATATTGATAGACATTAAATTATATTCACATAGTTGAATGGCAGTAATCAGTCATTACAATAAGAATCCAATCTATTTTTTTTTTCTTTTAAAATAGTATTATTACAAAATAATAAAATTTCCAATTATAAATAACTACAAAATCAAGATTTTTACGTACAATAAGTAAATAAATATACTTACAGCAAGAGTTTTTCCAGAACCTGTTTGAGCTATTCCAACCATGTTTCTCCCACTCAATGCAATTGGCCAGCTAACTGCTTGAATAGGTGTTGGATTACTAAAGCCTTGTTTCCTAAATATTTCACAATTAATAAAGGTTTCTAGAATCTTTAAGTACATTTATACTTACTTTACTTCATTAAAAACATAATCAGGAAGAATTACTTCATTAAAATTCATAATTGGATCTGGTATATCACTGCCAACATATGAAATTTCTTTTTCCTTGACATAATTTTCCACATCTTGCCTAGGACTAAATTAAATAAACTTTAAATTAACCTTTAATAATTATAACTATAAATATAATTAAATATTTACCGGTTTAAAACTAACGGATGAGGTGTATAAAAATTTTTTTGAAAAGGTTGAAGTGTTTCATTTTCCCACTTAGGTTTGCGTAAAGCTCCACCAGGTTGCTTACTCTTTAAGTTATTAAAACTATTTCCTCCACTTCCTATAGGGCCACCTCTTCTATAGCCATCACTATCTCCACCACCTCTACTACCGAAACTTGAGCCACGGCTACTATAGCTTTCATTCCTGTTAACATTGCTGCTACCCCTTGGTGCTCCACGACTACCACCACCATAACTTGCACGTCTCATTGAACTGTTGTTAGTTCAAATATAACCACTAAGATAATCTCCTCTATCCTGACAAATAAATCCTGGATGGAAATACCTAGAAGATTAAATACATTTGAGTTACATTAAATTAATATTTCTATAATAACGAATTATAAAATACATAAATATAGAATTTGTAAAAGATAGATTAATGATATTGTAGTTGATGCTTTAATCAAAAAATTTGTTGAAACAGTTGGGTACTTACATTATCATAACAATATAAGTAGGTGATTAATTAATGAACAATTAAGAAATAATATATATTTAATACAATAATTTATAATAAATTACATTTAAGCGGATATAATAATATTTATAGGTACTTATGGATAGTTTAGTAACCAAATATCAAACTCAACATTATGGGTCGACTGTGGAGGATTGACCTACAGTCACCTTAAATAAAGATGTAAAGTTCAATAAACTATATCAATCAGCCAACTAAAATACTGCTTAACAGCATTTTTAAGTAGTGGATGTTTAGCCAATTTTTACAGAAAAAAAAATCAACATTATCAAAAAAATTTTTAACAGTACTTACCATTTGTTAACAAACACTATATATTTATTAATTAAATTTGTCAATTTTAACATTATTTAAATATTTATTTTTAAACAATTTCAGTCTATTTTTAATAAAATAATTTATGCCCCACCCAAAACATAAAAATAGTAAGAGTAATAATTTAACTGAATTACTTCAAAATAAAAATTACAATCATAAATTATCACTTAAAAATTAAACTTTTATATAATTTATTAATAAAAAGGCCTAAAACATTTGACTTATTTGATCCAACAATACAATTTATTGAACTTGTAAAAAGATCATATAAATCTATCTGTTAATTTATCCAACCAAGTGCTCAATGTAATGCAAATTAAACTACAAGTATTACAATAATCATATAATTTTCCAAGGTCCATAAACAATTAGAGAGGCTTATTATTTATTGATTATACAATTATTCGAGCGCATCAATGAGATGAACTTCTAAGTCATGTATTTATATTTACTTACGTGTGGATACTGCAAAATTATATTTATGAACAAAAAGTGTTAATCGAAAAAGCACATACAAACAAATAGTAGAAAATATATAATGAAGAAAACGATTAGTTATCGAAGCATGAGAATAGAATTAGCAGTTCGTACAATTTGTTCTCGATTCGCTTAAAAGAACACAAAAAAGTAAATTATCTATTATATTCACAAATGGAAAAAAGAGAACTATGAGCGACGCCAATAGATGTGGCAAACGCGGTTTATGAAGAATGTGTTTATAAGCTCCATGGGGTTACACAACATGTTACCGGTTACAATTGCGCCATTTTTGTTTTTAAACTAAGCTTGCATCTTGTGAATTTAATATATCATCCATCAGGAATGAAAAGAATACTATTTGTCAAGTCGATAATCAGTGATTTTTTTTTTTTAGTTACAATATATTAACCGTAGAATATAAAATAATTAATTTATTGTATAAGAATTCATTATTATATTATAAGTAGGGCTTGGAAGTTGATGCATTTTGAATTTTTTTTTGGAACTTTTTGGACGATGCTCTCCTGGCCACGTTTCATTAGCATGTAAATCTGAATAACTAATTTTATTTTGCATTTTTTTTGTATTTTTTGGTGTTTATTACTTTTAAGTCTTTTGTTGATATTTTTAGTTCACTATTCCAAATTTTTAGACATTTTTACTGATTTTACACTAATTCACTTCTTATCGTTTCTTATCGACCTTTATGTCAATAACTTAAGACTTGTCCGATTTTATTTCGCCGATTAAATTCGGTAATCCCTCCCCCCTTCGAGAATTTTGAGACCAAAACAATTTTTATATAAGTAATGGGTATTTTATTAAGAAACAAAAATTATGATTTATTTTATAGTATTATTACATTTGAAAACGTTTCAAATTTTACACTAATATAAATAACGCAAAACGCTAAATTTTTCATAACGTTTTAATTGTCAATAACGGTAAACGGAAAATGTTTGAAACATTAAAATTTGTATAACATTTAAATGCTTAAATTGAATAACGTTTAACTTATTTATAGCGTTAAACGCTCAATTGCTTATAACGTTTATATGTTCCATAACGATAAATAATATATATTATTTTGATTGAAGATCCAGTCCATACTTAGTGAAAAAATAGATAAAATACAAGTGAAACTTTCAAAACACAGATAGGTGTTAAAAAAGAACTACACATAAGACCATACTAAGTGAAAATTTGAGTTCCCCCCCTAGAAGTAAGTCTAAATACGCCTCTGCGTCCAATACAAATTGCCGGTATGCAGATGAGTATGTTCCTTCTTTTCTAAAGCTTGCTACTCAAGTGTACTAAGCTATAAAAAAGTTTATTAATCGTAATTAAAAGTGAACATGAAATATGCTCAACTATAAAACAAATACGGTATAATTTAAAATCTAAGAACATCGAGTTTTTATAATAAATCTATGCACAACTATGTGCTCGTACCTAAATAGTAGAATAATTGTTAGAAATACTCCATTATTCAAAAATACATGGTAAAATGTACAGGTCATGCAAAAAGATAAAAAAATTAATAAAAATGAATAATGTGTTAAAAATATTTTTTAATATAGAGTAATATAGTCTGACTGACATTTCAAATAATTGTAATGTGATAAGGCTTATCAATGTGTTGTTTATTTTATTTGTTACTGAAAATAATAAAATGCATTTGTGATTTGATCAATGTTATTTTAGGTAAATTAATTTTTCAATTATAAGAGTGTAAATTAACAAATTGTTTACGTAAAGTAGTCAACATGGGAAGACGATCAATAAACACCACTAAGAGTGGTAAATATATGAATCCCACTGATCAAGCACGTAAGTATTATTTTTACTCAGCATAATGATCATCTATAAAAAATATTAAAACTTTTTATTTTGTAAAAATGAATAGGGAAGGAAGCTAGAAAAAAAGAGTTAAAGAAAAATAAAAAACAGCGTATGATCGTCAGAACTGCTGTACTTAAAGGAAAAGATCCACTGCAAATTTTGGCTGAAATGGAAAAAATTGACCAGATGGGTATAATATAATATTATTTACATTAAATTCAAGAAATTATGGAGTGTAATTTTTAATCAATTTTAAATTTTATATATATTATGAAAATGTATAGAAATAATTAATTTAATATTTTATATTTACATTACTAATTTGGATATTCATAATTATTATTAATTTGTTATTTATTTTGAGTAACTATAGTTCCTTCTATGTTATGTTGCATTGATTTATAAACTGTATTAATACAACTTTAACATCCCTCACATGTTGAATAATGAATGAATAGTGGATTATATATCTATGGTTATTATATTTGTTTTTTAGTTTAGTAAGTTAAAAAGAAGGAGGCACATTAAACACTTATAGTAAACATCTTATTTTCATGTCTCAACTAGTTGAAAAATATAATTTTGGTAATTAATATATCTACAAAATTACAAAATAACCATTTGTTGTTACCATTTGTTATGAAAATTTCCAAAGTATTTTAGTTAGTAGTTATGATTGGTTTTATAACCATGGGAAATGTAAGTTTAGAGTAAGTTTAAAGGAGTTTAGAGAAAAGAGTGACCACACCGGATGGTTAAACTAACTAGTATAATATATTAATATAAATAAAATTATACATTTTATGACAGAAACATTAATTTATGTAATAGTTAAGGGATTAAATTATACATTTGACAATAAGTTCTAAAATGCCTTACTAAAACAATTAAATTATTATTTATGGAAATATATACATTGAGTTATCACAGTAAGCTACCCTGTTTTATACATAAGCAATATTTTAAATTAATTTTATAAACATTCTTTTTGGATTTGTTTTTAATAACTTTTAATTTTACTGTATTAAACCCAAAATTTAAGTTTCTTACAATTATTTTTTGGCTGAATTTTAAAAATATCTAATAGTTAAAAAAACATGACCTTATGAATTTTTTAGCAAATAAACTTTTAATAAAAAAAATTGTTAATAGTTTTTTTGCTTAAAATTAATTTTTTGCTGATTTTTATTTTAAATAAATTTTAAGAATTTACAAAGTTTGCTTGTTTTATTATTTGAATAAATACTAAATTGTATGAATATTATTAAAAAATGTTTGTAGAATACAATGTTGTACAGCCATCTCCGCTTAATGAAAAGGTATTAAGAGAAAAAAGGAGAAAACTTAAAGAAACTTTTGACAGAGTCATGAAAATGTATGTAAGTACCTTATGCTTACTACTACATGTAAACTATGTTAACCTTTAAGACTAATCCATCTAACAATTGCTCTTTTTATCTAATTCAGCCTTCTGTTTTCTTCCATTATACGTCTGGTTTTATCATTTTTGTAAACTTCTTTTTACTATCCTATTACCTTCTACATAAGAATTTTGATTATTTATTTTCATTTTACAATTAATTTTTTAGAATATTTTTGTTAGTAATTTGTTTATTATTTATTTTAAACATTAGTCTGAAAATATAATTTTTTTCTAGGTAAAAGATGAACTTGATAAATATCATGAAATTAAACGAGCTGAATCTGAATATGAAAAACGTCGTTTTAAGTTAATATCATATTTTGATGCTGTAAAAACAGCTCAACAAGTATCAGTTGATGAAATTCCATTACCTGTTATGACTTCTAATATTCCACTACCTGCTTCTGATACAGGATATAACTCTAATGAATCACCAATAGGAATATTGAAAAAGCCTCCTTTATATACGTAAGTAATTTATTTTATGCGCTTTTGTAATTTTTTTTTCAACGATAAATTACTCATAAAATATTATAATTTTTAGTAGTCCACCTCTATCACCTATATCTGGTACAAAAAAAAGACCACCTGGAGTACCTCCAGGAGTACCACCTACATTAACAGATGAAGAAAAAGATGATGATGATGATGATGATGAAGATGGTTCTAGCGATGGTGAAACTGGTTAGTTGAAAATATAATAATTAAGTTTATAGAAAAATATTTAATTTGTGTTGTATTATTTTAAAAAAAGCTCCAAAACGTTTGCGAACATTACGATTTGCTGAAACAGATGATTCTGGGAAAGAAAATAAAACAACTGATGATATAGAAATGTTTATGAGAGAAGTAAGCAATAACCAAATAATCAATTATTGACTTCTTAATTTTAATATTTAATTAATTTTTAGATTGATGAGGTTCAAAAAAGAAGTTCCTCAGGAAAACCAGATTCTAATGAAATTCCTTTACCTTTACCAGCTCCATCAGGACATTTGCCCCCTGGTTTACCTCCAAGTATTTAAATATTTAACTTGATTTATAACTTTGTATTTAAATCGATAATTTTAATATAATTTATATTTAAAGGTTTGCCAGTTGGTGTTCCTCCTCCTATGCCATATCGTGGACCAGCTGGTAGAATGCCTCCAGGTCCACCACCAGGTCGACCACCAATGCTACCTCCTGGACCTCCACCTGGTTTACCACCTCGTATGCATGTACGATTACCTCCAGGACCTCCTCCTGGTATGCCACCAAGAATGATGAGATATAATTCTGGTATGCATAACAATATGAATACCGCAACTGCAACTGCTACTGCTGCAGTTACTGCTGCTGCTGCTGCTGCTGTTACACCAAATATTGTGAGTGCGGAACCTCAACTTATTAATCGCGATGAACCTCAACATACTGGTTCAACAATTGAAGCAAAACCAAAAATGAGGTAAAAATGTTAATCAATTTTTATATGATAAGTTGGAATATTATTTTTAAAACCTATTTTTTTGGATGCTAATACATTTCCTGATAAATTTTTTATCAGTTTATAATGAAATATTTATTAAAATGTAATAGTTCTATATTTTATTATAATCAATATTCTCTATATTTATAAAATGTAAATAATTATTGATTTATATTTTGTACTAAGTTAATTATATTAATTTGTAATAGAAATCTGGCAGCTGATATCACACGATTCTTACCAACATCTATTCGAGTTAAGAGAGATGATGGTAAGCCAAATAAGCGTGACAATGCTTGGGAACAACATAAAGCAGCAGAATACAAATCTAATATTGCTGCCAATAATCAACAAGCCGGACAACAAACTAAAGATGATGCATATATGCAATTTATGCAAGAAATGGAAGGGCTCCTTTAATATATTTTAGTATAATTTTTTTAATGAGTTAACGATTTACATAAATATAAACTAGTACTTTTTCATGTTTAAGTATTAAATTTTTTTATTACATTATTTTCCCATTATATTATGTTTCAAGCTTAAATAATTATTTTGGGTTCTAATTCAAGTAATTAAGAACTATAAAGTGCATACTGTAGGTATACTATTGTAATTATGTCTACCAATTAATAACTCTTATTTATATTATATTATTTTATAGTTTTTCTTACAATTCTTTAATTTATTTCAATTGATTTGGATTTTTATTTGAGTGAACAATTTATCAACTGGTTAAAGTTAAATATACATATGATTTTAAATAATATTCTCCATAACTTCATGTCTTATATTGTAAGACTAATTGTGAAATAATTCTAAGATATGTATTTTAGAATAAAAATGTATACATGAATGCCAGTATCTGAAATTTCAAAACTCGTAAATAAAAAAATAAAAATAAATCAAGAGTAAAATATGCTAAATTGATAACAAAATTATTTTAGTTAATAAATAAGTGAAATGAAAAATAATGTATTCATTGCATCATATACAATAATACACAACTATAACTAGGGTTTGGAAGTTATAGGAGCCAAAAAAAGCAAAATATACAGGCAAATATGTAAGAAAAAATGATAAAATATACATGAAAAAAATATTATTTATTTATTAAAAGTTAATTAGTAGATATTAAAAACTTATATTAAAAAAATTGTGTTATTTGTGAAAATTAAAATATGGCGCGTAAATGGTTGGCATTTGAGATTTTATTGAAAAAAGAGTTAAACAAATATATTTTTATTATTTGTGAAATATGAAATAAATATATTTTGTATAATACCTATTAAGTTGTTGCATTGAACCACCAATATTTTCATTAAATTCATAGTAGACAATAAAAAATAACCATGAAAAATAATATTGAGTTTTATATGATGCACATTTTCTGTATTATTAGCGTTGTGTTATGTAACATTATTTAAAATAAATTGTTTAAAAATGAAAATAATTAATTTTTTTAGAAAATATTAAATATACATACAAATATGTGAAAAATCAACGAAATATGCAAAATATGAATTTTTAATTTTTAAGCTCAAAATTTTAAAGCTTGGTTTACTATAAAATGAGTGTATACAGAACTATGTGCAACTTACGAACTCTGACAATAAACTATAAGATCTGCCCACATAATGCATAAAACCCAGTGATCGACTTGGCAAAATTAAAGAAGGGGGACTCTATTTACTTTAAAAAAATGAGCGTCCCTAAAACTTGTTAAGCGTTATAATTATAACATAATAATAGTAGGGGGGCGCTAACATTTCTGAAAATTAGTTGGGGTACTGTGTCCCACCTTAATTTGATCACTGCAAAACCCAATATTAGTATTTCATAACTCATTATTCAACTAGACTTATTCATGTGACAAAGTAAATTATTAATAATAAATTGGTTATGGATTAATAATTAATAATTTCTGATTTTTCAAAGGGAAAAGTTTGGTTTTATTTAATAAAAAAATAAATTAAAGCTATAAGTTTATTAAAAATATTGCTATACTTGTATTATCTATGTAGCATGATTTATCAATATGCTCATAATCTCCATAATTCTTAAATAAATATAGTTAATAATTATTGTTCGTACAAAATATTCATATCAAATTAGCTTAAGACTTTATGAATATAATTAATGAAAATCTTGAATGAAAACAAACAATATACTATTTTTTAAACCATATTTTAATTATAAAATATGATTAAATTTTTAAAAAACAATAAAAAACACATAATAATTAAGAAGTTGAAATACATAGTTTTGATAATTATTTACCTGCTAGTAGACATGTGTTCTTGCCAAACAATTAAAAAATTTGAAGATTTATTGTTATTTCACAAACATTACATATGTTTTCAAAATGTGAAAACACTAAGAGATGAAATTTAACTAACTTAAATTCAGCATTCAAAGGCTATACAAATGAATATTAAATTATTAAAAAAATATCAAGAAATATAACATACATTAATTTTTTTTTTTTTTTATGATTTTGAAATCTTACTAATTTATACTTCGACTAGTAGGCCATTAGCATAAAATTTGTAAAAAAAAAATATATATATATAAATAACGCAGTTTCAATTAATTATTTAGTTGATTGTGTACATTGAAATTGTTGGCTATGTTAGGTTTAGTATTTTGATTAATTTGAAAAATCCTATCGTGTTACTTTCTGTATCTGGAATTAAGCCTAGACAAATTTTAATAAGATGGATTTTTGTTCAGTTCCTCTCTTGTTTTTCATACTATTTGTATTCTCGAAAATGTGTTAGATTATCAGCATTATCTCACATGTTGGTGGGACACCTTTATTATCAAATAACCACGAGTCAGTCTTGTGTCACCAACATCAAGTTACATGAAATATCTTATGAACTACAAAGTATAATTTCTTTATGTACTAAAATGTGTGATCAAAACATAATATGAGAAATTGGTAACATTTTTAAAATTATTATTAAATTTTGAAGATTGTAAAACAAATAAAAATTGTACTCAGAAATAACCATGAATAATATAAATCTTTTAAATTAATTTTAATTGTTACCATGATATAATTTACTTAATATGAATAATCCAGTTTTATAGTTTTTCAAGATTTGAATATTTAGGGCATCTATTTACATAATTCAAAAATCGTAATGAGATATTTAAATAAAATACAATTAATTTTATCTTTTTTTTTCTTCTTTTAAATCGGCAATACACTTGTCACCTGGAACAACCATTAGGCAATGTTTCAGGTGATGGATTGCCATAATTTATTGAAATAAATACATAGAACATATTTGGGGTGACTACAGGACAATCCCCTGTAGTCGTGCTCCTCACAATAAATGTCCTAGCCTGGAGGTTAATGGGATGCATATTGGTTAGACCACTTGTATCCATTACGCTCACTGTGTTGCAGCTATCCCTGCCTGAGCTTATCTTCATGTTCTGCATCTTCCTCGATGGTAATCACATCTGGTAACTGGAGATAAGCTAAACAGGTTCTCCTGCATTTCGGGAATCACTCCACCCGGGTTGAATAACCTGATAATCAAGGCAAAACGTTTCCAGTCATAATCAAATGCTTTGCAGCATATAGAAGTGTGGAATGCATCATCCTCCTCCTCGACCTAACTATCGGTTGCTCGATAATAAATTAATTGTATCTTAATACCTAACAGAAAAATAAAAATATTTAGTTGAATTTTAATTATTTTGTATTTTAGATAGATTAAAAAAATGTTTACTTTATTAATAGAATAAACTAATACTAACTTTAACAAAACCTTGATTTTTATCCAAATTAATATATATATATATATATATATATATATATATTATAGTAAAATTTTCTTTAAATGTTCAAAACTGTCATTATTCATAAATAATACTGGAATTTATAATTAAACCATCGCTTAATTATTAGTTATTATACTATGCATATTTTTTATGACACAGTATTCATTGAAATTGGATGTACTGAAAAAAAAATTAATTAAAAAATAATGACAAAATATACACTTACATACTACAAAAGAAATTGTTTGCACATGATTAATTTAAATTATAATTTAAAAATTATGTAACTTTTTCAGTAATATAAATAAATTAAATGTGATTTGTAAAAAAAAGTATTATTCTACATTTACATAAAAATCTACATATTATTACTTAAAAAGTAATTTCCCAAATTTTATAATGACAATAATATTAGCAGGTTTTAAGAAAATATATTGCTTTAAGACTTGACCTTTTAATGATATTTGAAAATAAATTGTATTTATTAAGAAAAATTACTTATAACCATCAATCAACAAATTTAAATCAGAGTACATTTTTCAAAATTATTGACATTTCTAGTTTTACTTGTAATACAAGTTTCTAAATCAGTTATACATATATTTAGAACAGGTTATATAACAATCACAAACTACATAATAATCAAGATATAATTTAACAAAAATGTATGCTTACTGTTGATTTATATGTAAATTTCAAAAGTTTTTTCTCCTTAACATAAAACAATTTAATACGAATTGAAATTTTGAACATTTTGAAAATGTTGAACTAATTCAATCCAGCATTAAATTCACTTACATAAGATAATATCAAGGGAACCTACAAAATGTACACCAGTTAAATTATGTTTGGATAACTAAAATCTTACTGTAGTCAAAATTAAGCCGTAAGCAGTAGTAATAAGTTATAAACAAAGTAAATAAATACTTTAATTCAATCGCTATATAAATCGTACATAAATCAACATTCAGTACAATGAGAATTTAGGTAGTGCTCCTAAAATCGTGCAGAAATAGTAAAATATTGAATATTTAAGTATGTTGATTTCTTTCAGACTTAAATGGTGATGTACTGCATTTCTCATGCAATTTCTCATATAATACTTATCTAGTTTTGTTATTTAAATATTTAATATTAATTTATAATAACTAAATTTATCACTATAAATAAAAATTTTAAATTACAATACATACAACACAAAATTGTATTTTATTAAAATATATTAAATAATAATAAATTAACTAAGAAACTTACTTAATTGATTTATACTTAATATGATGAATGCAAATTTGTTCCATAATTATTCATAACATCAAATTCACTGTTTTTACTAGGCACATCTAATGGTGTAATATTTGGTTCCTGAAACATTTTTTTTTTTTTAATAATTGCCGTTGAATAAATAAAAATTAAATATACCTTATCAATCATTTCTGGAAATATAGTACTCAGATTAAAGTTGGTTAAAGTGTTCACATTACTGCTACTATTATAATAATTGTTTGTGTTTTGAGTAAAATGTTGAACTGGTTTATTATAACTGGAACCTGTCATACTAAACGTGGTTGGCAAAGGAATGTAATTTGCAATATTATGCTTCGTCGTTGTTACAGGATTATAAAAATGTGTTGGTATTTGATACCCAGATGGTTGTCTATCTACTTCATTTCTATTATCATATAAATAATTACTATTATGTTGATTATAGTAGTTTCCAAAATTTTCATTGTTATTATAACTTGATTTTTGACCTGTTCTATAACAAGTAGTTTGTTTATTTATTATATTTTGATTTTTTGAACTAGATTTTATAATAGAACCATTTTTTTGTTGATGCCTAATTAATGATTCAGCACTATGATTAGTGGATCTGCTAGAGTCATGTGAATATTTTGATCGTACCCAAGATTGATCTTGTTCAAATGTATTTATCTCAGGATAATATTGTTTAGTTTGATTTTGATAATAATCCTTGTCTGTTTTCTGATTTTGATACACACAACAATAATCCTTGGCACAATTTTTTCCTTTTCGTTTGTCATTAGATTTTGGTTGTTCTACTAATTGACTAACTGAAAGAAAATTTGAATTGACTGTACGAGATTTATAATTGAACATGTTTTGTTCACTACTTGTAACAGGAATTATATTATCACTTTTTTTGTTACATTCATATACTCTTTGATCAAATGGAGTATTAGAACCAGTATGAATATTCAAAGCTAAATCTCCCACAAGAGTTGGTAATGTTGAAGGCATATTAGTATCTAAATGAGGTAATAAAGGTATATTTTTGGATGGCGACCATGAATATGTTTGTTTAGGTTCCGACTGTAAATCAAAAGACATATCAAAATTGTTTTTCTTTTGGTAACTATAATCATCTTTTTTTGCAAAAGAATTTTGACAGCTTTTATCTGTCATCCAGTTAACTGGAACACTTTTTTCATTTTGTTTCTTTTTTTGTTTTGGCTTATGTGGCCAAACTTCATGGTAATTTTCAGAATCAATGTATGTAGTTGCATTACCTGTATTTAAATCATATGGTACATATGGAACATTATTTGCAGATACCGTAGAAGTAGATTTATCGGTCTTTTTTATATTTTTATTAAGGTTTTTATCAAACGAATTATAACTAGTATATCTCCAAAGATCAGAATTTGATTGTGTTGTTTTATAATAAGAAGAAATATCATTATAAGTGGTTTTATAAAAAGTAGACGCAGTTGGTTGTGGTGGAGGTATAGCCTTAATTTTTTTAATCTCTTTATAACCATACATTTGATCATTCTTTTTACTGATATCTACGTAACCATCATTATAATATGGTTTATCATTATAACCAAATTGATCTTTCATCTTATCTTTATTTTGATCTTTTTCACAATCATTTATATTTTTCTGGAACAATTCTGTAGCTGGAGATTCCAAGTTTCCTATTTGCAATATTGTTGTTGGTGTAGCTGAATGCAATTCAGTTTGTTCAGTTTCATTAAGGATATTAGTGTTTTTTGAAGTTGAAACAAGTGGAAAGGAAAGAAGAAAAGCTTCAGTGGGAGACATAGAATCAGCATGATGTCCTCCAACTGGTCCTTGAAGAGAACTAAACAGATCAGTAGAAAAATCTGTATTTGGTATAGGTAACCGTATATCATCAAAACAAGACATAATATTTTTTGCTGTTTCCATTGATTTTCTTTGACTTTCTTCTGTTAATATAGTTAATGAATTAACAACAGTTGATGTAGTCTGAGTAACAGATAAACATGCTGGAACATCAATTGTTATTTTATCATTATTCCTAACATTTTCGGTTTCAGCTGATTTTAATTCATTTTTAGAATCATCACAAATTATTTCACTTGTGATATTTTCTTCTCTATCAATAGATTTTTCATTTTTATCTTGATTAATGTTCTTAACGATAGCTTCAATTGTGTGACTTGTAGTATTTTTATTATCATTTAACTTAACTGGTTCCGTGCAATTATGTTTTTTATTTTCTTCTATTTCTTTTTCATTGATGCTTTTTTCAACTATTTGTGCTTTATTTGATTCATTTTTATTTTCAGATTTTCTTTTAAGTTTTGTATCATTTGCTATTTCAACTTTATCTTTCAAAAAATTAGTTTCTTTTAAAAGTCTATTATATGTTGCTAGTGATGGTATAGGTCTTTTGTTAACCGATGTAGTAACAGTTGCATCATTTTTTTTGGGGGCAATTAATACTTCTGAACTTTTATAATCAGGTAACAAAAGTATTTTAGGTATATCAAATATTATTTGTGGTTGAGGTATAATTGGTGAAGTATCAATTTTTATTAAATGACCACTAGGTAAAATAAATGTAGGTTTAGTTGATGTTAAAACTGTTATATTCTCAGGTTTGGTCGTTAAAGAAATAGGCCTTGTTTTTGGTGCTAATTTTGATTTCTTTTTTAATTTTTTTACATTGTTATTTTGAACATTGGATTCTTTTTTTCGTTTTGACTTTGATCCAATTTTCAAACATGTCTTTTTAATCATTTTTTCTTTTGGTATTCCAATTTTTGATTCCTTCAAAACAGATATTAAGTGTTTGATTCTTGTACATAGATGAGATATTTTATTTTGTAAACGTATTAATTCTTTTCCTAAGATAAAAAAAATATTTAATATGTGAACTCAAAATAACAAAATTTTATAATAATTATATATTAAAAAACATAAAAAAAAATATATTATTTATATGTAATAACAGTATTTTAAGAATACAATTTTTACAATTGAACTTACTATGAATATTTGTCATTTTCAATTTTTCATTTTGTAGAATACGGATAAAGTCAACTGCATGATTTATAACATCAGCTTTACCAAGTGAAGCATTAGAGTCTGATGGTGGAAGAACAGTACGCAATTCTTCAAAACTTACGTTCAAACGATCTCTGCGTTCTTTTTCATATACTCTATTTTTACTAAGATCAAAAAATGTTTAATATAAATAATCAATTATATAACAGTTGTACAATTAATACATACGATGCTTCTTTTTTACCACCCATTATCTATAATATGATACAAAATTATTTCTGAAACAAAATTGAACTGTTCTGTTAACAAAAAGAATAAAACAAAAATATTTAAAACTGAAAATAGTAAATTTTATAGTTCAATAATTTGAAACATCAAAATATTCAAAGATATAACAATATTAACTGTCAATTGTTATCAATTATTACAGTTTAATCCTAAGTAGGTATCATTACACGAAATACTTACTTAAAAATATTAAAGTTAATTGTATTGTAAGCAAATAGAACAACATACATCAAAGCTGAAGTATAATGCATGGGCTATAAGATTTGTGTTTATCTATATCGAGTTATCAACATGTTATACATATGTTTTTTATCACACTAAATTGTGTACAAAATGTAAGGATATAAAAGTGTAGTTTTTTAATTATCTTTGGTTTTGATGTGATTCTAAATTTTTCTATTTGAAAATTTTAATACTTAGTAGGTTCCAAATAATAATGTACAATTTATTCCGAAAGATAATTTTTGGGTTTTTTTTTTCTACAAAGTCTATAGAAATTACAAATAAGGTTGTAAGTATGATAACGTCGCAGCTTTGTAGATATACGTTACGTCACACATTTTTTAAATTATTAAATATGAAAAATGTTGGAACTTTAGATTAAGCTTACTTGCTTACCAATTTATATCATACTTTGTACGAATATTGCAAAGATCTATAAAATATAACAGCTATTTCCTGTGACCTAGCCAAAAAAATATTTTGAGAGAATTCAAATTTTCATTTCTCTCTACTAATTAAGTACCAACTTTTTAATTATAATGAGTTCAATAATCATAAATTAAAATATAAAATTTGTTATTAATTAACTTATTAAAACTGTGAACATTGTTTGATGATGATATGATATGGCATTATACGATGTCTATGAGTGCCCAGAGGGGGGGGGGAATACGGGGCATTTGCTCCCCCTAGAAAAAATTAATCGAACGGTTAATAACAAGGTTTGCAATCGAACAACTGCGAAGACTTCGGTTTTTATTTGATAACGATTAAAGTGTGTACAATTCTGACATATTTTATGGTATGCTAAGAATACATTTATTTTATTATACTTTTTGGTGTTCGATTTAATTATACCCCCCCCCCCCCCGGCCCTATTATTTGTACAATTTCGGACTGCACACTTGATTTTACTGCTTTAAATGAAAATTTAGTCTCATTACTGTCTTAGAAAAAGGAATATATTACATAGGTACATAATATATATATATATATAAATGGATTAAATTTTAAAAAATTCAATAATACTCATATTTCCTAGTAGTTGGCTTATTATTTAATTTTTGTTTTGTAGACCGTAGTGCACACTTGTACATTCGTGATGCACATTGTGTGTCGGGGTGCACATAAAAATAGGGCCCTCCCTGATGAATTTCCTGCGGTCGCCCATGCATATATCTTAAAATGATTTTAAACCTTACAAAATAAGAGAGATGTTTCAGGGAGGGTTATTACTCGTTAACCTTTCTGACTATGCCAAGTTCTATATTGACTATTTTATACTCAGTGACGAGCTATGTGTGCAATGTGGGTAAATGCCTGTCCCAGGCCCGTATTTAAAAATTTGGCGCCCCGGGCATATAATTTATCCCCAATAAATCCTTAAAAAATAAATAATAATAATATAACACTTATTATTTTGTCCATAATCGAGATTCTTTAATATTAAATATAACGTATAAACGAAAATCCTTTAAACCCTTTTTTTAATTAACAAATTAAACAAATTATAACATAATAAAACATAAAATTTCCTTTTTTTTTAATTAACAAATTATAATATAATAAAAATACAATTTTTTTTTTAATTTTCAAATTATAACATAATAAAACATACTATTTTATTTTTTTTATTGTTTTATTTTATTTTTTTCATTAGGTACATAATTTTTAAAATTAATTTTGCTAAATTATTTTTCGTCCCCGGACATGTGCCTATCTATGCCTTCCTAAATATAGGCCTGCTCAGGCCCTTGACTAGGGGAGGCCCATTATTACTCAACGTTAAAAAAAAATAAATAAAACAGTGTAAGCAATGGTGCATTTAAGGGGGGGTGGGTGAAAAGAGCAAATGTCCCAGGCGGCAAATTTTTGGAACGGAAAAATATTCTAACTTTTATTATTGTTCATGATTTTTTTAATTTTCACACCTTTTTCGGTACTGTTAAGTATTTTAAAAAATATTGTTGAGCATCAAATAAGAAATTTAAAAATTATACTATACTATCTTATATAAACAGTGCTTGATTCAAAACACTCACAAGACTCTAGTGAATCTAAATCTGAATTTGAGGTTTCTAGGTCTTGCTCAAATGTTTCTATAGGTAAATCAATTATAAAATATAATAGTATAATATCATATTCCTCACTTAATTTGACACATTAAAATTTTTGTAGATAACTGTGATTAGCAATCGATTTATTTAGATCATGATGAAGTTAATTCATTGTTATCAAAGAAAAAAAATCATATGATGAACTTTTCCATCAATACCAGTTTTTAATTTCTTTAACCACTATAACCATACTGGTATATACTAGAGGTACGCGAAAAGGCTAAACAACTTCAGAAAGTATATTCAGATGATTTGGACGGATGGGATGTATCATTCCCAAATGAATGTATTCACTTTAGAGCAATTTTAAAAACCTTACAAAAGGAGAGTAAAATTGTACCTACAAGTGTTCAATGTATGTTAGTATTTATAAAACAGAATAGTTTAATTGAAGTATATCCTTATATGTACACCTCCAAGTAATTGTTTAACGGAAAGATCATTATCTACATTAAAAAGGGTAAAAACTTATTTAAGATCAATAATAGGAGAAAATCGTCTTAATTCATTAGCAATCCTCAACATTGTAGTTGATTTAACAAAAACTATTAATTTTAATGATATTATTGAAGCTTTTGCTTCTCAAAAGTCAAGAAAAAAATTATTAGCTATTGATTATTTTATTATATATAATTAATAATAAATATAATATCTTTAATCTAATAAAAACTATGTATTGTTAATCATTGTGCATATAATAAGTGTTGATTCCGTTTTCTATATTTAATATATAGATATATATTTTTAAGGAATATTAACTTTGAATAAAAAAGATAAGGTTAACGTTAGGACATGTATAACTATAAAATTATCTTATACAATATCGCAAAACAACTGATTTATGATTTGTTTCATAAAACTAATTTTTTTATTGCTTAACTTTGAATTTATGAATTTATTTATATATATATATATTTTTTTTTTGGTTAGGAGGAAGAGCGGAAAAATTATTTTATCCCGGAGCGCATATATATATTAAATGCGCCACTGAGTGTAAAAAAAATTAAAAAGATAATAAATACTACTCAAGATATTATTAAAAATGATTAGCTAAGTCAAGTTATTCGATACATCTCAATTATTTCAGACTTCTACGGTAATACTAAAACATTGCTAATAAATGAATCATTTAATGGCTTTATAGACATTTTAGATGAATAAGGTGCTGATTTAGAAGAGTAAATTATTAATTGTACTACAATTATTTGTATTTTTGAAATAGTAATAGAAATCACAAAAAATGGGGTGTACGATAAATATTTTAAGAAAAATGTAAAATCATTTTATGATGAAATCCTCCAAGATTATTGCTTTAATACAGTAGAAAAAAAATTTAAAATCATTGTATTTTATTTAACATTGAATAATGAAATAATACAACTAAAAGAATATTTTACCACTTTAAATAACATATTCAAAAGATTTGAAATTACTCAACCGAATTCGTTGATTAATTTCACTAACGAACAAATTTTGAATTCCGCTAATAAACTGGTAAAATATTACTATTTTCATTTATCTAATACTCATGTTGGTCAAATTGTATTACTCAGATCTGGTTTTTAAGAATAAAAATCAAAACCAACATTGATAAAAGCAATTATTAAATTAATTATTACCTAATTAACTATATTTTCTAAAACATGTACAACGATAAATAATATTTATCATGTTCTTGACACTTATTATACTATAACAGTTGCTACAGCGGGAAGTTCATTTTTCAAATTAAAATTAATAAAATAATATTTACGAAGTATAAAGTATAACAAAAAATTAAATGGACTTAGCATTAGATCTGTTGAAAATGATCGAGCACGTCAGTTAAATTTAACAAAAATAATTAACAATGTGCAGAAAAAAAAATCACGCAAACGAAATTTCAGTTAATTAGGTATATGTAATTCCATCTTATTTTTTATGTAGTTTTAATTTTAATAATAATGTGTTGCAGCTACTAATTTTCATACAATTTTATTATTTTGAAATAAAATACTTACTTTAAATTTAAATGTATGTTCTTGTATTTATATTATTTAGAATTAAAAAGTTGAGGTACCCTTTTTTTACTTTTGCACATGGGCCACTTTTGTATGAACCGCCACTGGTTATACCATGGGCGTCGCCCAATTGCGGCCTAAAGTAACCTTTTTACGTTTTCACCTATCCTGATTGCGGCCCGTACATAGCAGGTAGGAATTACTATTCAAGTGGTTATCAAAACCAAATAAATATCCCGATTGCATCCGATACGTATTTTGACATCGTAATCAACTATCGTAATCACGATTCATACGATAACCGATATTCGGCGTGGTAATTTCCAAAGATACATACAACAACTATTATCTATTTTTTTACTGTAGACAATTTATTATTTTAATATTGGACTATTTATTGATGATTTACTGACATAATTGTATTTCATATCTTTTTATATTGTAAAAAATGTATTATTTTACTATTTTACTATTTGTTACTGCAATCTTGTAATTATACTTTTAAAATAAATATTAAACATTTTGTGAATCAATGTGTGTCTGGACGCAATTGGGATACTTATATTTGGGATAAAATACGACTACCTGGATTCGGGCCACAATCGGGCAACTCCGATACCAATGTGTGCAACCCTGAGTATAACAAATAAATTGTACAGTAAAATAAAACCCTAGCACTGTTTAAAAACTATTATAATTCTAACAGTTACATTTTCATGTAAATGAATTAGGTACTGATGACATAATTTCTATTTTAGGCATTGTATTATATCATAATTATAATATTTTACTATTTTTGGTAGTTATTATTCACCATGATGTACATGGACAATATAATGTTATTATAAATAGATAATAAATAAACCTAATAGAAGAAAAGTTGATTTTCAATCTATTATTGGTTCAATAAAACCAATAATTTAACTTTT